GCAGTGCATTTTCGAATGTTGGACTACGGCTTTATATATAAGGAGAGATTATAAAACTCAAAAATGGGGGAAATACTATACCAACAAAAACCATCTATAGATGCAAAAATGCGTAAATTACAGGCCAGTCAGTCTGACGTCGATACCGGGTAAATTGGTGGAAACCATTACTAAGGAAAGAATTAGTAGGCACATAGATGAACAAAACCTATTGAGGCAGACTCAGCATGGGTTCTGTAAGGGAAGATCTTGTCTCACTAACCTGTTAATGTTCTTTGAGGGGGTGAACAAACATGTGGACAAGGGGGATCCAATAGATATTGTTTACCTTGACTTCCAGAAAGCTTTTGATAAAGTTCCTCATCAAAGGCTCCTAAGCAAGCTCAAAAATCATGGGATAAAAGGACAAGTCCTTTTATGGATCAAAAACTGGCTAATTAATAGAAAACAGAGAGTGAGTATAAATGGGCAGTTCTCCCAGTGGAGGGGGGTAAGCAGTGGGGTACCACAGGGATCAGTACTTGGTCCACTGCTTTTTAACTTGTTCATTAATGATTTGGAGTTGGGAGTAAGCAGTGAAGTGGCTAAATCTGCGGATGATACGAAGTTGTTCAGGGTGGTGAAAACCAGTGAGGATTGTGAGGCACTCCAAAGGGATCTGTCAAAGATGGGCAAGTGGGCGTCAACATGGCAAATGGGGTTCAATGTGGCCAAGTGCAAGGTGATGCACATTGGAGCCAAAAATCCTAAATATAAATACACATTGATGGGGTCTGAACTGGCAGAGACAGATCAAGAGAGAGATCTTGGAGTTGTAGTAGATAACTCACTGAAAATGTCGAGACAGTGTGTGACTGCAATAAAGAAGGCCAATGCTATGCTGGGGATTATTAGGAAGGGTATGGTGCGATCTCATTTGGAATACTGTGTGCAATTCTGGTCACCACACCTTAAAAAGGATATTATAGCTTTGGGAAAAGTGCAGAAAAGGGCAACTCGAATTATAAAAGGGTTGAAACACTTTCCCTATGAGGAAAGGTTAAGGCGCTTAGGGCTCTTTAGCTTGGAGAAACGACGACTGAGGGGTGACATGATTGAGGTTTATAAGATTATGCATGGGAAAGAGCAGGTAGAGAAAGAGGTACTTTTCTCCCTTTCTCACAATACAAGAACTCGTGGGCACTCCATGAAATTGCTGAGTGGTCGGGTTAGAACAGATAAAAGGAAGTACTTCTTCACCCAAAGAGTGATTAACACTTGGAATTCACTGCCACAGGAAGTGGTGGCGGCTACAACCATGGACGGCTTCAAAAGGGAATTAGATAAGCATATGGAGCAGAGGTCCATCAGTGGCTATTAGCCACAAGGTATAGATAGGGACTCTGGGGCAAGTGATGCTCTGTCTTCTTGGTGCTTGGGGGGGTCAACAGTGGGAGGGCTTCTAATGTCCTGGCCCCACTGGTGGACCTCCTGATGGCACTGGTATTTCTGGCCACTGTGTGATACAGAGTGTTGGACTGGATGGGCCTTTGGCCTGATCCAACATTGGCATCTCTTATGTTGTTATGCATAAAGCTGGCAATCTGGAGGGAGAGAGTTCTCCCTTCCCAGTCCCAGCTAAGCAGGTTTTTGTGTTATATATAGCTTATAGCTATATTGTGGGTTAGATCCTATGGATCCATTCCACTAGTGAAGGTGTTTTCCTCTGATGGAAGGAGCCTTCCCCTGACAAAGATTGCTGTCTTGCATCAAGCAAAGAAACCTTTCCACTTTAGCAGAATGGATGTGCAGGATCCAACTACTCACCTAATCTTGGAACAAAATATTTCCTTTTCTCCTTTGTACAGGCCCTCAGAATGAGCTATGGCATAATCTTGAATGTGGAACCTGAGGAATGTAATATGAAAGGAAATAACTTCCTACCAACTTTTCCTGTTGTTGGGGAAAATATGGGAGAATGTAAATTTGAAAGTACATGAATCCTTACTTGGAGGTTGCCTGTTGGTACCTGAAAGATGCAGGTTGGCTTATTCCATGTGATGAACATTTAACTAGTGTGTGCCTCTCTGTATCTCTTCCAGCACAGCCAGAGTGTCTACAGAGCTAACTGCAACAAGATTATTATGTTATTTACTGATGGTGGTGAAGAAAGAGCACAGGAGATTTTCAACAAATACAACAAGGAAAAAAAAGTAAGGTTCATTTGTGAAAGCACTCTATTGCTTGGTGTCTTCTTCTCCAGTCATGCCTGGAAAGAAATTCCAGAAAGCTTATGTATGTTTTAAAACTAAGTAATGTACTGAGAAAGCAATAGTAGAAATAGTTTTAGATAAAAAGCAGATGATTTTCAAGAAATTCACTGAAAGCAGCATTGCATAGTAACACATATGCTGACATATAAGCAAGGTAAAGGTAATTCAGTGTGATCTGCAGATCAAAAAGCAGTCCCCTCACTATAAAATCAACGCCCAGGCCAAACCGCTGGACGTAGAAACACAAAATTTGGGGAGAGCGCTCCTACCATGGCGTAGATGCTCACTAAGAAGGGATTTTTAGAAATTGGACCCCTAAGTGGATCAAAAGGGGTAAAATGTGCTCCCCCCATTGATTCCCATGCAGCTGCCAGGGTGCTGCCTCTCTGCACCTCCCACTCTCTGATTGGTCAGCTGCAGAGCTCAGTGTTCTGAGGTAAAAACAACAGTTACAGGAGACTGCACAGAGCTAAAGACAGTTGAGGAAATCAGGAATGGCCAACAACCATCTGTGAGGTGCAGTAATTCTGCTGGCCCAGCCTTTCTGATGGCTTCCAACACACTCCCCCACACCTCCTACACATAACAGGGAGTTGTCTGTCAGGTCAGCAGTGGTTGCAGGGTGCTTAAAGCCATGAGGGAGCCCGCCCCCACCTCCACAGTGGCTTCTAATACACCTCCCCCTCCTACACTGGACAGGACCAGGGTACTTTAATCCATCATGGACACCACCCCAGCAGGATCACCTTAGCGATGCTGCTGGCCCAGCCTCTCTGATGGCTTCCAACACACTCCCCCCACCTCCTACACCTAACAGTCAGTTGTCTGTCAGGTGCAGCAGCGGTTGCAGGGTGCTTAAAGCCACGAGGGAGCCCGCCCCAGCAGTAACACCTTAATGATCCTGCCAGCCCTGCCTCCACAGTGGCTTGTAATACTCCTCCCCCCTCCCGCTCCTACACTGGACAGGCAGCTGCCTGTCAGGTGTAGGAGAGGAGGTGGGATGCTTACAGATGCCATGGAGGTTTGCTCAGCAGGATTGCCTTAGCCCTGCTGCTGGCCCAGCCTCGGTGATACCTTTGAATACAATCTCCCCCAACACCAGACAGGCCGGTATCTGTCAGGTGTAGGTGCAGGACCAGGGTACTTTAATCCATCAGGGACACCGCCCGAGCAGGATCACCTTAGCGGTGCTGCTGGCCCAGCTTAGTCACACCCACAATGGAAATATACTCCAAATTTGTAGAAAACTAGTTTCCTTTATTAGGTTATTTAATTTCTCACAATGTGGGTTCTAGAAAACTGGTTCATATGAAATTGCTTAATATCTGATTGCTCGGATGGTGTTTTGAATATGTAGTTATGTCCCAGTTCTAAAATGTAACATAAATGAGAAGCATTTTTGTAAAAAAAAGAAAAGAAAAGGGGGGTATGCCCTCCCCCCAAATTCAACGCCCAGGCCAAACCCCTGCATCAAGAAACCCAAAATAAGGGGAGTGCATTCCTACCATGATGTCAATCCACCCCCCGCCCATGAAGAGATTTCTGAGAAACCTGACCCCTGCTTCTTAAATGATGACTGATTCTTAAATGGACAGTTCTATGTGGTCTGCTCCAGAGTGAGCTCATCAAGCAGCCTGGTAATCCTAGCACCTGATGGCAGAACCACCAATGTGGTCTAGAGAAAGGTCCTTCAGTACAGAAAAAAAAGGACGTATGTCTCACTTAATTTCTTACACTACAATCTTCTCTGTTAGAATTCCTACAACAAATTTCACATTTCAAATTTCACATCATCAGTATTATAACTGGATTTACGGAACGTAAATACCGTAGCAAAGCATGGGTATCAGGCTAGTTTGTTTATAAACCTGAAATACTGCTTGTCAGACTTGAATAAACATTGCCAACCTTGGATGAAATTCCTGCAAGTTACTTCAATGTCTCTTCCACATCAGAAATCACTTTGAATATCTCACAAACTCTTTAATATCCCTTGAACTTGCAATGATTGTCTCTCTAAATCAAGGCAGCTGAGCACCTGAATAAGCCCATGATGCTTACCACTTTCTGAGTGCCTTGCAGATAGCGGTGCAATCAGCTGTTTACTGTCATGGATACTGTGAAGGAGACACACTGCCTTCTGGTCACAGGAGAGCCATTACATTATTCAGAGAGCCTGTCACTCAGTGATAGATCATATTCTTTGCATGCATATGTAAAAATCTCAACATCTCCAGTGTATAGGACCATAGGCCATGGGTGCATTGCTCCCAATCATGGCGAACAGCAATGGATCTCAACATAATATTAACCACATAAGTCTCAACATAATACTAACCACATGTACATATATGGAGCACATGTGGAGTAGAATCATACAATGTTGTACCAGTGTGGTCCACATGTTTTTAAGAGCCCTGATGAGGAAGTGTAATGCCCTTGCCCAGTGCCTGTGATGGCCACTTGTAGTATGAACTGGGCTTGAACTATATCTTCTTTCTCCATCCTTGGTCTTCCATTCTGGGTTCCCCCCCCTCCTTTTTCAATGCTAAATATGCATTCTCCTCACTTATGAACTAGCTCCTACCCCCAATTTGGCTATGAAATCCTGACTCTCCTTTGAAACAGTGATGGATTCTCTAAGCTGTTCTGACAAGCCAACATGGTGTTTATCAGTTCTGGTCTTTACTCAGCCCTGATAAGTGTAAAGACATTGCATATATTCAAAATGTATTCTAGGAACCCCACCCCCCAAGTTGTGCTGATATACGGTATCCACAGTACATAACTGTCAGAAGGGGTCAAAAGACAGTATCTAGCAGCCACCTCCCCATTTCTGCCCACTCCAATCTTGTCTCATTTCTCTCAGGCACCTTTTGAACACACAACCTCCTGTGGCTGTCTCTCGGAGAGGAGGGCACTCTAAGCTATGCCCCAGTACTCTTCCTCCTCTCCTTTCTCCTCCAATTCTTTGATAGGGCGAGAGGCAGAACCTGCCCTCCTTGAGCACCTCCCAGTCCTTTTTAAAGAGGCAGACTGAGGATGGTCATGAGCTTTCACAAGAACCAGAACTCTTGTAAGAGCCTATGACCAAGAGGGATTTAATGGGAAACCATCCTAAACTTTTGCATCTCTTAGCCGACTGCCCGGAAACCAACCCCCCATCACATTCCCTTCTCACAAGCACTGATGTCCCCTGCAGCCATTAAGTTCAGTGGTGCTGCTGGCTCTAACAAACCCACCGCCCATTCAGGAGTATGTTCTGTAGCTCCAAGATGCAGTGGAAAATTGTGATATGTGATGCTGCACTGCATTTAATCTGGTCTGTCCTAAGCACCTTATTACAGGTGCAAGTTTTAGGATTAGCTGATCACTGTTAACATATTTAATATATAACATCTTTGTTTTTTGTGTTATGCGATAGTAGTGACCAGAGCCTACTGATTGCCCAGAATTAAATGTATCAGTGCTTGTTCAGCTTCTGCATGTCTGTTCATTGGCTGGAGTTTGCCTGTTCAGTGGGTAAAAACTAAGCTTTCCATGGGTTGTTCTGGAGTTCATTTTTTACAGATGAGGTTGCTGAAGTTTGGTTTGGGTTTAAATTGTCCTTTTATACTGGAAAACTTGTTGGGTATGTTTATATGTCTTTCATTGAACATTGCTGTGGTCTCTGAATGTCCAAACGACTACCATGAGTTACGTGAGCAAGGAGACACCATGCTGAAATTGGAATAATTGGTTGCGGCATCTGTTCTGTGTATGCCACTTCTCTTGCCAGGGTAAAATCTTATGCAGACAGGTTTTTCCAGAGTTATTCTATACCTTGTGACTTACCACTTCCTAAGTTTAAAATATTATTTTTTCCCAATATCCTACATATTCATTATACATAAGGTTGATACCAGAGGTTCTTCTTTTGCAAATATGTTTGCAGATCATAGATAACTGACACTTATTTACCTGCAAATGTAGAAATGTTCTTTCCACAAGATAGTTCTGAATCGTTGTTGCATTCAATCATTGTTGCATATTTCTATTCCTTTATTAGTTTTATTATAGTATATTAGAACTAACTGAACATCTTGTTCTTCTCGCAAAGCATAAGCAATAGTTATGCAGAGTAGGGATGAACATAAACCGAACCATGCCCTATTCATGGTTCGCAAACAGAAGTTTGTGATGAGTCTACCATCATGAACTTCCAGGAACTTTTAAAGCAGTTCATGGTGGTTCGTGGCAGTTTGTGGATGGAGCAGAAAGCAGGGGTTTCTTCAAAACTCTGTCTGTATTTGTGTTTCCTCCAAGGAAGTGGAATTTTCTGCCAGAGGAGGCAGTGATGGCCACAGGCATAGACAGCTTTAAAAAGGATTGGGCAGATTCATGGAGAGTAGGTCTATGGGTGGCTGTGAGCCATGGTGACTAAAGGAATCCTCCACATTCAGAGGCAGTAAACCTCTGAATACCAGTACCAGGAGGCAACTGTGACAAACTGACCTCCAAAAACAGGATGCTTAACATATCAAATTCAGAGAGCTGGGAGATTAGGGGTTAATGCTGCAGTGTAAAACACAGTTTGATTGACAGGCTTCTGCCTGTGTGCATCCCCTTTGTTTTTGTTTCGTATTGTTTCTGTTTTCTTTTGTATTGTTTCTATTTTTTCTTTGTTGTTAATTTATGAAATATAAATAAAGAAAATGTTTTTTTAAAAAGACTTTGAATAGCTCAGCTGGAATACCATCACCTCCACTAGCTTTGTTGTTAGTAATGCTTTCTATGGCCCATTTAACTTCACATTCCAGGATGTCTGGCTTGAGGTCAGTGATTATACCATCGTAGTTGTCAAGAACATTGAGGTCTTTCTTGTATAGTTCTTCTGTGTATTCTTGCCATCTTTTCCTAATCTCTTCTGCTTCTGTTAGGTCCCTACCGTTTTTGTCCTT